CCCTGAAGAAAAGAAGAAGGGGGAAATCAATGAGAAAAGGAGAAATAAATAATGACCATATACAGCCTTAGACAGTCATAAGTTTTTTTTCTCCTCTAGTTCAACCATTGTATTGGCACTAGATTGATTTTTCTTGAATGATTATTTCATCATCTATTTTCCAAGCTCTCAATCCTCCAAATCTTCACCATCGCCTAAAAGAATGATTCATTAAAAAGTTTTTGAATCATATACCCAATTGGTTAAAAGAAAGTCTGTAAACATGTGCTTCCTGTTCATTTTTTTAATTCACTTATCGACAATTTAAATTTACTATCAACTCAGAATACTCAGAATAGCTCAGAATACTACATACACTTACAGCTTAGGATGTCATTCATGGTTATGGCATAAAAGAAGCTTTCCTAATAGTTTTAAATTATTTTAGGCAGCCTTTGGCCTATGTGATCAGATTGTCATATGTTTTACTATCTACCTTCAAAATATGTGAGAGTTATCAGCTAATCAATGTATATGAATCCTCAGACAAACTACTGATTTGAGAGGCAGCTCTGTGCTCTTAGGTGGAAAGTGTTATGCCCAGACTGTGGACTGAAAAGACAGAATGAATTTAAGGGGTCAAGTAGAAGCTTGAGCCTAGAGTAATAGCAGAAAATCTGAGAGAGTTCCAGTTGGCAGTGGGAGAATGAGTGATTTAACCTTGAGAGCAGTCAAATTACAATAATAATAGCTCCACTTTTGGAGCATCTACTGTACACTTGGGCTTCCCTGATAGCTCAGTTGGTAAAGAATCTGCCCGTGATGCAGGAGACCCCTGTTTGATTCCTTGGTCAGGAAGATTCGCTGGAGAAGGGATAAGCTATCCACCCCAGTATTCTTGGGCTTCCCTGTGGCTCAGCTTGCAAAGAATCTGTCTGCAATGCGAGAGACCTGGGTTTGACCCGTGGGGTTGTGAAGATCCCCTGGAGAAGGGAAAGGCTACCCACTCCAGTATTCTGGCGTAAAGAATTCCATGGACTACATTCCATGGAGTCTCAAAGAGTTGGACACAACTGAGTGACTTTCACTTTCACTATATGCTTGGCATTGTGCTAATCACTTTAAATGTATTATTTCATCTGCCCTTCATATCAGCTTCAAGGTAGGTATCACTACAAGAGAGGTTAAAAATCTTGTTCAAGTTTACATAGTAAGTGAAGGAACTAGGATTTGACCCTGGAAGGAACTATGTGTCTTGACAGTCTTTTTTCCATCACATCCCAAGACGCAGCCTTAGAGTAGGTGTCCCATTCCATAATCACACTTGTTTTATATAAAAAGGAGTCCTGGATGAAAGGAGCCAGTCTGAAAAGGTTCCCATCTTTGTGACATTCTGGAAAAGGCAAAACTGTGGAGACAGTAAAAAGAATCAGTGGTTGCCAGAAGTTAGAAAGTATGAATAAGTAGAGCACAGAGGATTGTTAGGGCGGTGAAACTACTCGGTGTGGTACTATAATGGGTGTTCAAGTTCAGTTTAGTTCAGTTCAGTTGCTCAGTCATGTCCAACTCTTTGCAACCCCATGAATTGCAGCACTCCAGGCCTCCCTGTCCATCACCAACTCCCGGAGTTTACTCAAACTCATGTCCATCGAGTGGTGATGCCATCCAACCATCTCATCCTCTGTCATCCCCTTCTCCTCCTGCCTCCAGTCCCTCCCAGCATCAGGGTCTTTTCCAATGAGTCAACTCTTCACATGAGATGGCCAAAGTATTGGAGTTTCAGCTTCAGCATCAGTCCTTCCAATGAACACCCAGGACTGATCTCCTTTAGGATGGACTGATTGGATCTCCTTACAGTCCAAGGGACTCTCAAGAGTCTTCTCCAACACCATAGTTCAAAAGCATCAATTTTTCGGCACTCAGCTTTCTTTATAGTCCAACTCTCACATCCATACATGACCACTGGGAAAACCATGGCCTTGACTAGATGGACCTTTGTTGGCAAAGTAATGTCTCTGCTTTTTAATATGCTATCTAGGAAAGTAATGGGTGTACACATTATTATACATTTGCCCAAACTCATGGAACATGCGACTCCAAGAATTAACCCTGATGTTAACTGTGGACTTTGGGTGACTATGATGTGTCTGTGGAGGTTCACTGATTGTAACAAACATCAGTTCAGTTCAGTCGCTCAGTTGTGTCCGACTTTTTGTGACCCCATGGACCGCAGCGCACTAGGCTTCCCTATCCATCACCAACACCAACATAATGGAGATAAAAAGGTGGCAAATGGGTCCCTGAACCTTCCTCTCAATTTTGTTATGAACCTAAAACAGCTCTTAAAAAAAAAAAACAGTGTTTAAGAAAAATCAGGGGCGGGGGGAAGGGATGGAGGGGATGGACATGGCTATGAGTCTATAAGGATAGGGCCAGTTAGAAAGAGGTAGCAATGCGTCCCAGAGATAGAAGAGGCCACTCAGAACTCAGCAGAGCAGTGTGGATCCAAGGAGCCAGTTAATGCTTTGGGAAAGCAGAATTCATGAAGGATAATCTGTTCTTATCAAAAAGTTGATACTTAATTTTTTTTCCAATATTGTCTGATACAAAGCCTCTTCATACTTGTCTATTTTTCCTCTGTGTGCCTTTTTATAAATCAGAGTTCATATATGCTATGCCTTCTATGTTGCTCTAATAATTGGTCTGCTCACAGTCTGTAAAAATAGAGGAACCATCATTTACTAAGCTGTGCATTTATGATTTGTGCATTTTATACATATGAATAGAATTTATTTAAAAAATAGAATGATTCTGTATGGAAGTTGAAATAAGTCAAGGATATTGTCATATTCACTGTTGCTTGGTAGATTCAAACAATTCTTCAATCAACCATTTCACATATGATAAATACTAGTGTGGGCTAAGAGATAGAAAACTGGCATTCCAGTCTTAGCTCTGCTGTTAGAATAACTGTGTGACACAGTTAAGGTAGCCAGTCCCCTCTGAGCTTGGATTTCCTCATTTATAAAAAGCAAATGCCCCAAATTCCCTATAATTTTCAGTATGATAGAGGATAGAGCAATTCTCACCCTCAAACTAATCCCATAGCACATATTGAAAGAGAATCCCAGCTCCTCCCAACTGCAGACTCCCCTTACCTGATATTTTAGAGCAGAGATTGGGAAACATTTCCAATTGGAGGGGCCAGGGAGTAGGTATTTCAGGCTTTACAGGCCATGCAGCCTCTGTTGAAAGTACTCTGAGCTGCCGTCTATTAAGGTATCCACATACACTATGTAAATGCATGACAAGGTCTGTGTTCCAACAAAACTTTATGTATCAAAGCAGGTGGCAAGACAGATTGGGCACACAGGCCATAGTTTGCCCATTTCTGTTCTAGGACATAACTTTTTGGGATTCAGTTCAACTTCCCTTCAGCATATATGGGAAAAACCATCTGTTCACAATAATTAAATAAAATAGGGGATGAGAGACTTGGAGGGCTTCCCTGGTAGCTCAGCTGGTAAAGAATCTGCCTACAATGCAGGAGACCTCAGTTTGATTCCTGGGTCAGGAACATCCCCTGGAGAAGGGATAGGCTACCTACTCCAGCATTCTTGGGCTTCCCTGATGGCTTAGATGGTGAAGAATCTGCCTGCAATGCAGGAGACCTGGGTTCGATCCCTGGATTGGGAAGATCCCCTGGAGGAGGGCATGACTATCCACTCCAGTATCCTTGCCTGGAGAACACCCATGGGCAAGAGGAGCCTAGCAGGTTCAGTTCATGGGGTCACAAAGAGTTGGACATGACTGAGCAGCTAAGCACAGCACAGAGACTTGAAATGTACAAGGGAGGGAGAGTAGAGAGCCTTATGATGCAGGATTGGGAGAGAAAATTCCAGTGATATCTGCTATGAAGGAGAGGCATTGTCGCTTTGGAAAAAATTGGCTTTGGCATGGAGCTAGCTGCTAAGTTTGGAGAAACCAGCTGGTGTATGTGTGTGTGTATGTGTGTGTTTGCAGGTGTGTGGGTACATGTAAGTGTAGGAGGTTACAGTGTACTCCAGCCTACTGTGGTATCAGGTACCAAGGGGACTCACTGAATATTTGTTGAGAAAGGGAAGGAAGAGGGATGGATTATCCTCATTTATAGATGAAGAAATTCCACTGTGGGACTCCAGTGTTGTTTCTCATAAGGAATCTACAGGGAAGCAGAATTTCATGGGAAGAATATTGATCTCACCCTGGAGAGGATCTGTCAACATCTCTACAGGCCCGCCCTTCTCAGAAGAGGAGAGTATTGTTGGGCTCAGAGTTCCCTATAATCCTGAGCTGCGGTCATGCAAAGTGTCAGTGAAAGGTGGCCATATGAAGACAGGAAGGGGGGCTGCAGTTACTACTTGTGGCAGCTGTTTCCATAGGTTAGGCTTTATGCTCTCCCTAAATGGTCACAGTCGCATTTCTGACATGGCAGCAGGAGCAAGGAAGGGAAACGGACTTATGAAAATGGACTTATGCATTTGAGTCAGGAGATCAGAAACATCTTGGGAAAGGAGGCCAGAGTTTGGAGAAAGGAAAATTGTCCTTCTCTGTGCCATCACACAGAAGCTGGATTTGGGGGAAATCTTAACATCTTGGAATGTCTTAAAATTGATGAATTAACAACTATGTAAAATTTCACACAAGCCATGCTCTTACTAGAGAGCTGATTAAGATTTGCAGTCTGCTGCACTAATTCAGTAATATAATTTCATAGACTAAAAATTTTGCTATGCAAATGTATGCAAATCATATAAGAAAATAGTGTTCTTAGCCAAGTGCATTAGCACCTATTTCTTTGGTTTTCTTTGTTAGTTTCACTGGAACTCTGGCCCTACTAGATAAATAATAAATTCAGTACTCAAAAGTGTGTGTTTAACATTTTCCTGAAGGGTGATTGAGAGACTTTCTCTTTTGACAAATACTGTAGTGATTGGCATGTCTGTTTTCCTCTTTTTCTTGCCTAAAACAGAATGAAGAAGATGAGCAACATTTATGAGTCAGCTGCCAATACACTGGGAATCTTTAACAGCCCCTGCCTGACCAAAGTTGAGCTACGTGTGGCATGCAAAGGCATTTCCGACAGAGATGCCCTTTCCAAACCAGACCCCTGTGTCATCCTCAAGATGCAGTCCCACGGGCAGTGGTTCGAGGTAGGCATGTCCAGTGAAATGGAGAGAAGCATGGCAGGAGGAGAGATTCGAAAATGTTTTGGCATTTCCTGTCTTCAGGTGGTTTATTTCGGTGAGACAGAAAATTCTAGAAATGAATATGATCACATTTCTGCTCTTATCATGATTTTTTAATTTATTTATATATTTATTTATATATTTAAATTAAAAAAATTTATATTACAGTATAGTTGATTAACAATGTTATATTAGATTCAGGTGTAGAGCAAAGTGATTCAGCTGTACACATATATGTATCTATTCTTTTTCAAATTAGTTTCCCATTTATGTTATTACAAAATATTGAGCAGAGGTCCTTGTGCTATGCAGTAGGTCCTTGTTGATTATCTGTTTTATATATAGCAGTGTGTATATGTTAATCCCAAACTCCCAATTTACCCCTCCCCTCCATCCTTCCCCCTCTGCTAACCATAAATTCACTCTCTAAGTCCGTGAGTCTGTTTCTGTTCTATAAATAAGTTAATTTATATAATTTTTTTAGATTCCACATATAAGCAATATCATATATTTGTTGTTTGGTATCTGAATTTTTTTCACTTAATATGATAATCTCTGGGTCCATCCATGTTTCTACAAATGGCGATATTCCTTTCTTCTTATGGTTGAGTAGTGTTCCACTGTGTATATGTACCATGTCTTCTTTAGCCATTCATCTATCAGTGGACATTTAGGTTGCTTCCATATCATGATGTTTTAATACTGTGGATATTTTGACATTTACCATTAACTTATGTGCTCTTTGTGGATATAGTATCTTCTGGGGATGGGCAGCACGGACTGCTTTACTGGGGCCACATCACACACTTATTTTGGGGGAATAAACAATATTAGCTAAACTTTATTGGCTACTTATTAAGTATCAGTCACTGTTCTAAGTGCTTTATGTAAAACAACTAATTTCATCTGTATAATAATCCTATGAGGAAACAGAAAGATTAAGGATTTGCTCAGGATCATCCAGTTTATAAGTGGAATAGCTAACATTTCCCAGTCAAGCTCCAGGGCCTGAGCTCTTTATTGCTATTTTATACTTACAGTGCCCATTGGTGTGGCCTTTGATATTTTGTGTGGCAATACAGCATGTTGAATTCTGCAGTTGGGTTTTGTTGGTTTATTTAAAATTGAAACAAATTGGACAAGGACTGGTTTTTAAGTTTGGGGGGGTAGATATTGTTTTCTTTGTTATGCTGCTGCTGCTGCTGCTGCTAAGTTGCATCAGTCGTTCCCGACTCTGTGCGACCCCATAGATGGCAGCCCACCAGCCTCCCCCTGTCCCTGGGATTCTCCAGGCAAGAACACTGGAGTGGATTGTCATTTCCTTCTCCAATGCGTGAAAGTGAAGTTGCCTAGTCGTATCTCCGACTCTTAGCGACCCCACGGACTGCAGCCTACCAGGCTCCTCCGTCCATGGGATTTTCCAGGCAAGAGTACTGGAGTAGGTTGCCATTGCCTTCTCCATTCTTTATTCTAGGTACCTGGTTCAGTTCAGTTTAGTCTCTCAGTCGTGTCCAGTTCTTTGTGACCCCATGGACTGCAGCACACCAGGCTTCCCTGTCCATCACCAACTCCCAGAACTTGCTCAAATTCATGTCTGTCGAGTCGGTGATGCTATTCAACCATCTCATCCTCTGTCATCCTCTTCTCCTCCTGCCTTCAATCTTTCCCAGCATCAGGGTCTTTTCAAATGAATCAGCTCTTCACATCAGGTGGCCAAACTATTGGAGCTCCAGCTTCAGCATCAGTCCTTCTAATGAATAGTCAGGACTGATTTTCCTTTAGGATGGACTGGTTGGATCTCCTTGCAGTCCAAGGGACTCTCAAGAGTCTTCTCCAACACCACAGTTCAAAAGCATCAATTCTTTGGCGCTCAGCTTTCTTTATGGTCTAACTCTCACTTCCATACATGGCTACTGTTAGCAATGTTTTAAAAAGATCTGGTCTCAGGTGAAATTTGGGATAGGGAGGAATAGGGGATGCAGCTGTGGAAGCAGTTATTATCATCTCTAAGGGAACGAGATGACCAGCAGAATTTGGATGAGGGTTTTGAATCCATGCTGAGTAGGGCAAGTGTACACAAATACCTTGCTTGGATCCCTCAGGACAGACTTCAGTCCTGTTTTTATCTGTTTGCATGGAGCTGACAGGTACTTCTTTCGGGACCAAGGTCTTCACTCCACAGTAAGAAAAAGGTTCAGAAGATCTCATAGGAAGTAGGTTTACTTACTTGTACATATGTGATAAAATGTACTTCTCTGAAAGGATAGTTTGATAGAAGTTGGTGAGCAGATGAAATGCAGGTGAGAAGGCAACAACACACGAGGAAATCAATGACAGATGGTAGATTGGGGATCTTCCTTTAACCTCCATTTTATCCAGGGCTCATATTGTAAATATAAAATAGCGTTCACAGGAATCTTAATGTGTAATGTCTCTTTTTCCCCTTCTAAATATTCTCCCTGACTGTTGGTGGACTTCCTGTCTTTTATTTTTTGTTTAACAAAACTAAATGGAATATCTACATTAGGAAAAAGAGACTCATGGAAAATTAGAGGAAAAGACTTCATCTCCTAAGAGTCCCTTTACATCATTTGTTTATTTGTATACATTTCTTTTCAGTCTTTTCCTTCTGGCATTCATATTCTTACATGATATTTACGATGCACATAAAATTTTCTTTTGTGATTTTATTACCTAGCAGAATATGTTTTTTTCCATATTGCTATAATATTCATAATTTTAATTTTAAGCCTGCATTATATCCCATCAAGTAGATTTATTTGATCATTTTCCTTTTTTTTTTTTTCACTTTTTAGTTGTTTTCAAAATTACCCTATTTTAAATAATGCGGCAGTATCCGTCTTTGAGCATAAGGCTTTCCTCTTCCTTTTGGATTAGTTCCTATGAGAGTCTGTCAAAGTGGAACTAATGGAACAGGATAGGACACTTTGGGGGCTTTGGTGCATTTGTCAAATTGCTTTTCCAAAGCATTCTTCTACAGAGTTATTTGAAGTGTGTTTGCACACAGCTACCAGCTTGCAAATATTTTGTTACCAGTGCACAGTGAAATCAGAAACTTGTGCCACACTGTAAGCTAATTCACTGCTTCCTTCATCTCTAAACTCTTCCTTTTTAAATAGTGTCAGCTGAACTTCCAGCATCCTTAGTGACATGACTGAGTTATATTTTGGAACTTTTGAGAAGCACTTCTCTAATAAATTTTAGTCTTAAGGGTGTACATTTAGGGTATAGTTGGGAAAATAGAGCCCACACCAAGTAACTAGTAGAAAAGATTTAATACAAATAACTAGTAACAAAAACATTGGAAATGTTGAGAAACCAAGTAGGCACTGTGTGAAAACCCAGAGATTAACAATAAGGAGGTGCTGGTTGATTTAGGGTAGAGCAGTGATGTGCTGAAGCTAGCTCATAGAGGTTTGTGAGTCAATTGTTAAATCTTCAGGAAATTTTGCAAGACTGGGTGTAAGTATTTATACCATAGATATTGGCAAACATGTCAAATCAAAACTTTACTTCCCATCAAGAGAACCAGTTGTTGAGCATTTACTGGCATACCACTGGGATAGAGGGACAAATGTTAGTACCAGCTGGACCACCCAGCAGAAGCTGGATTTGTGGAAGGAGGGCCTGTGTAATGGGAGCCAGAAAGGTAGAGGAAATGCAGGTAGTGCTGGAAACATTACCAGAAAAGGATGTGAGGAAGGAGTTGCATCCCAGGTCTCCCATCTGTGTCTTCCAGTGACCACACCCCTGGTGGAAGCCTGTTGCCAAGGTTGCAGGAAGAGTCTGGAACACATTTGAAAATACCAAGGTAACTGACTAGCTGGGAAAAATATCTATAACCTCAGATATGCAGATGACACCATCGTTATGGCAGAAAGTGAAGAAAAACTAAAGAGCCTCTTGATGAAAGTGAAAGAGGAGAGTGAAAAAGTTGGCTTAAAGCTCAACATTCAGAAAACAAAGATCATGGCATCCAGTCCCATCACTTCATGGCAAATAGGTGGGAAAACAGTGGAAACAGAGGCAAACTTTATTTTTTGAGGCTCCAAAATCACTGCAGATGGTGAAATTAAAAGACACTTACTCCTTGGAAGGAAAGTTATGACCAACCTAGACAGCATATTAAAAATCAGAGACATTATTTTGCCAACAAATGTCCATCTAGTCAAGGCTATGGTTTTTCCAGTGGCTATGTATGGATGTGAGAGTTGGACTATAAAGTAAGCTGAGCGCTGAAGAATTGATGCTTTTGAACTGTGGTGTTGGAGAAGACTCTTGAGAGTCCCTTGGACTGCAAGGAGATCCAACCAGTCAATCCTAAAGGAGATCAGTCCTGGGTGTTCATTGGAAGGACTGATGCTGAAGCTGAAACTCCAGTACTTTGGCCACCTGATGCAAACAGCTGACTCATTTGAAACGGCTCTGATGCTGGGAAATATTGAGGACTGGAGGAGAAGGGGATGACAGAGGATGAGATGGTTGGATGGCATCACTGACTCGAAGGACATGAGTTTGAGTAAACTCCGGGAGTTGGTGATGGACAGGGAGGCCTGGCATGCTGTGGTTCATGGGGTCACAAAGAGTTGGACACGACTGAGTGAGTGAGCTGAACTGAACTGACTAGCACATAGACCTTCTGACAACTCTCAGTAAGTGAGAGAATCACGCACTCAGTCATGAAGTAGTACATATTTTTTTAGTGCTAACACATGCCTTTTAGTGCCAGTTCAGTGCGTGGTCCGGTGCTCAAAGTGAGAAGCACCTGACAATCTATTTAAATCACACACCTCCTACATTCTGTGTTTAGTGAAAGCTGGCAAATGTGGACATTGCCCTGGGACATAACTGATGCACATTCTTCTGTATCTGTCCCTTGGAACAAGACTGGATTTACATCTCTGTTCTTCCTGAAGAACTACAGAATTCAGAGAATGCCTTGG